ATGCACATAAGCATGTATGGTTGAACGATTGCAATACTCCTATGCTAGTCATAACAAAGAGGATTGAATCGCCACTGTTTGACCGGATTCGAGCCCCAGGGATAAATTTTGATTGAATGTGCCGCTCTAAAATCACTGTCTCATAGAAAAAATGAAGGGATTATTCTCAGTGCGCGGTTCTTACTGAAATCGCGTTCCATCATTTTTTACTAAATGTCCCAGTGTTTCCCGTCAGCTAGGCTACACGAGCCACCCAAATTCTGTAGAGTCCCGTCAGAACTTGTCGGGTGGTGCGAAAATGCGACCAACTCACGTTCTCTCCTCAAGAAAAATTCATCCCACACTGAAGTACGTGACCATGTGCGAACTGAACGCAGCTTGAGACAGGTATTCGGCAGAAAATCGAAGTAATTGATAGTTCGGGAAATTGGACTCAGGTGAGGTCACGCAGATATACTATCGATCCACGCGATTGTGCGAAACCAAAAACATGTGAAGAAAACAGTGTTGAGAGACAGACGTCTAGATTAATCCGTATGAAGCCTAACTGTCACGCGCTTAAGCAGCTTAAACGCTCGTAAATCCTAGCAGAAGCATGACACTAGTTTATGCTTTCTTCACTACGATTGCCGAGTTGACCTCTATTGAAAGCCATACTGAAATTTTGTCAGAAATCACTAGGGCCAATTGCTTATTCCACGAAATCATCACGGCTAAAGTAATAGTGTTTGGTTAATCTTCTTTGTTTCTTTCAACTCGTAGACGCAGCAACACCAAACACCAACACCAGATTTGAGCAGGAAACGCCGAGCCTACAACAGGAAATATTTGGTCCATCATGAGCGCCAATAACAGCAGTGCGCCTGTACCCGTACAAGTTGGGTCCTCAGAGAATAGCGTTTCTCACAAAGTCATTTCTTCCATAGCAATTACAATTCTCATCATTCTGACACTCTTTGGCAATGGCCTCGTCATTTCCGCTTTTTATGTGTTCAAAAGGATTCGCAAGAGTGTCACGAACTGGTTTATACTCAGCCTGGCTATAAGTGACATGATGGTAGCATTTATCACCGAGCCTATTTGGTTGGCTGGCGAGATCCTCTCTTGGCAATATCCACCAGAAATCGATGTACCGACCTTCATCATGCTTTGGACCTTGATCGATATAATCTGTGCAATTTCATCAATCTCTAATTTGATGTTCATCTCCGTGGATCGGTTCTTTGCTATCAAACATCCTCTGATCCATCACACGAAGATGACTCCAGGCAAGTGCAAATGGATTATCCTGCTTTCCTGGGTGCATGCGGGAGGTACATCGTGTCTCTATCTAGTGGACCCTATTTGGAAGTACGTGGTGATCTTCCTATTTGGATTCATTATCCCTCTAATTGTCATACTGTTTTGTTACGGTGGGATCCTTCACGTGGTAATCTCAAGGTCTCGACTCACACATCGTCATGGGAAACGCCTTTCCACTGAATACAAAACGGCCAAAAGTCTAGGCGTCGTGACTGGCGCCTTTGTTGCATGCTGGCTTCCATTTTTCATCGCTTCTTTGGCGTTTTGGTATTGTGAATCTTGCAAAAGAGATATCGACACCATTCCAGCAATCACCTCCGCGGTGAAATGGCTGCATTACTTAAACAGCTGTTTAAATCCCATAATTTACGCGTTTTTAAATCCCACTTTCAAGATTGCATTCAGGAATCTAATTAGGAGGATGTGTGGCAAAGAGACTTTAAACTCTTTAGAAACTGAAACTTCGTTTGCATCATTTCGTCGACGAGACACTTATGCCTCCGTGAAGAGCAACGAGAATGGAAAGGAAAAATCAGGCAATGTTCCCAATGGAAATGCATCTTTTTACAAGAGTCCCCTTTTGAAACAAGAGGGTACCAAGATGAATGGCGCAGTTAAGCATAACTCTATCAGCGATGATGGCAGTGTAGAGCGCGGTATTGAAACACCCGAAGACAAATACTTCGGAGGTGACCCATTTTGTTCTACACCGCCTCCACCATCTTATGAGGAATGGTATCAGTTAAAGAACTGCGAAAGCAATAATGTATCACAAACAAGTAGCAGCTACGTCCCTGTTGCAATAAATAGCGATTGGAAGGAAGCACCGAAGCAAACATGTCCCATACAGTGCGACAGAACTGTGTCCTTTTCGGATGACGTTAAGATATGTGGCGAAAACTCACCAGAGAAGACAGCAAGCGATATGCCTGCGTTGGAAGGTCACATCTCTACCTACCATGACGAGAAAAGCAATCAGACTTTCTTACTCGTCGATGGAGTACAGATTCCAGACGGTGAAATCCGAACAACCGATGTCTAAAAAAGGAGACATTAAAACTAGGACATGGGCAAGTATATTAGGTTATTTGAGATACAGTGGAACGTTTCTGTACGACGATCAGTTTATAATACAGATCTCTTCAGTATTACCTCAAAAAAGCTTGATAGGCGGTCAGTCTTAAGCCCCGTTCAAACGGTCATGATATTTGATCATAGTTTCAACTATCAAGCGCGTTTGAACACGAACTATCATGCACTTCCATCCTCTATTATCGACTGTACGTAGTTTGGACACGTTAAAATTCGACGTGATAGTTGACGATAGTTTTTGCCGTTTGAACGAGCGAATGATAATGAATGAAAGTTTTTCGTTAAACAGTTTTTCCAAAAACGGACTCAAACCGAAATGGCAAAGGGTGAAATGACTAAAGTAGCTGTCAAAACTTCGCAGAATGTCTCGTAATTCATTCTCATCATTTCCAGGTAGGCTTCAGTATCTTTAACTCGCAACTTTGTGACTAAAATTTCAAATGCCACCGAAATTGCTTAGATCGGCGCGCCTCATATTTATTTTCAATTACACGATCTCATTGCGTTAATTTTTCAACGGTCATCAACTATCGTGAACCGTTTGATCTAAAACATGAAAATCAATGATGGTGAATGATAGTTGAAACTACCATCGACTGTCATCAACTATCATGACAGTTTGAACGGGGCTTTAGTTCTTCCGACCTATAGCTATTTTCACGCCCAAAAGATTCATAGCTCGAAGGTGGTCGTAAGAACGGGGTTCCATTGTTCTCCCAAAAATTGTAAAGGCTAAACCATTATGGTCTGCCATTCAAGGCAAACCAGCAATTTCCTTTTTGCCATATTCCTTTGTTCAGTGATAAAAACTTAGTTCTCTATGTTTGAGCTGGACAAGGAAACGATGCGAAATTATCTGGGATACTAGTGGTCACACATAGCCTGCCATGTATGTTCAAAATTACCCGCTGTCAGAAATTAACTAGTTTCCACATAATTATCTGATTCATTAACACAGAGAAATTTGAAAGGGCTGAATATTAATTAAATAAAGGGAACATCTCCATCTACGGGACACTAACGATAAATGGAAAAATTTTTCGGTTGTGTCGACAAAAGGGACAAATGCTCTTCAAGAGACGTTTGCCTCTTGGATCAGGAAGGTCGTAATGAAAACAATAAAAAGACAGGAATATCGATTATTTTGTAAAATAACTTCTTGAGAGCCTCTCTCTCTATGAGACGATAGCCTAAGCTAAGAGCGCAATTTAGATTAAAGACAGATTAATGAATTAGTCAAACATCCCCTTCATATGATAAAAATATATACTTTATAGACATTCATCTTCAAGCATTGAGTCATTTTTAATTGAGTGTCGAAAATAATCCTAGATTGCTTTAATTTTACTTTTATTCGCTCTAGGATTGGTCTAGAAAACTCACTCCACTATCTCAACCAATAAACCAATCCCAACTTGGTCACCCGCGTTTTCCCGCACTTCGACTAGATCACTTGTTTTTACTTTGCGTTCTCATTGGCTAATGATGATGTAACCTTTGTTCTGATTAGTAGTTGTAATTACTCTGGTTTTGATGTTCGACACTCAGTTGAAAACTGCTCTAAAGAAGCAAGAGAAGACCATAATCAAAGACTGATGCCACTGTATAGGTCTCATAAATAAGTCAATTCAATTTTGAGGTATTATATTTTGATTCACGCCGGGCCTATCGTTCGGTTTGAGCTTGTCTTATCTGTAGGTAACCCAGAATAAAAAAGTCACAGATAAATAAAGGGGGTAAGTTTCTAAAGAAACTGTGGTGCTGCGTCAGTGGGGGGGTATAAAGAGATCATTTGATTTTATCAAATGAGTTGACAATGTAAATTGGCCACCGTAAAGAGTGTTTAAAGCTGACGTAACGAGCTTTTGACCCTCGTCAAAGAAGCGAATGGCGACACGTTTGAACTCGAGCCTCCGGGTTATTAGTTGTGTGTTATTACCAACTGAACACTTAAAATCCTGATGATTAAAATTCATTTTAATTTGTCTGTGCCGTTAATGTAGGATTTTATTTACATGCACGGCTTTATCAGCAACACCCACCCCCACAAAGTAGCTAAATGATACACAATTAGCAAATTTATGGGTACCATTTACACTACGGCTCGCCACACAACACTTCTCTCACCACAACCTTACATGACGGCCCAAGTAACCAAACATAAGTCTCCTAAGGAGTTTTAAATTCACATGTGCAAGTTCCTACATATTGGCCCTTCATATTACATCAAGTCTTTCTCACAGTTGTCCCCTACTTATAATCAAAGCCACTGATAAACTGTTTCATATTCAATAACTTAATAATTTTTTGTAAAGATTTGGATCAACAAAACAACGGAAATCATAATAATTTTCCCCCTTTACCAATACCCTATTTACTTATTTTAGCGATTTTCCCTATTTATAATAAGAGAAAATCGCGAAACTTCAACCCTTACGCCAGGAAAACTAAGATCGTTTTCTTGCATAAACCCTCGTTACTCTCTTTATCAATAAAGGGCAAAATTACTGAGCGCTGATTGGTTGAGAGAGAGGGCATTTTTAGTAATCAAGAGAGGGCATGATTACCTGTTAATGATTGGCTAATCCGTTGCATGGCGACTGCGCGCGTGATTTTCCTTCGTATAAATTTTGCCCTTTATTGATAAACAAGTAATCCCATGAGACCTCGTACTATTAAGGATTAATTGCACTTGAGTTTTCAAAATTTTCCAAATTGCCCTCGTCGCTTCGCGACTCGGGCAATTTTGGAAAATTTTGAAAACTCTCGTGCAATTAATCCTTAATAGTACTTGGCCTCATGTGATTACCTATACTTACGAAGTATCAAACTGTATCAAAATATTGTTGAGTAAGTACCAGCAAAAATATCAAACATGTTAAATACATATGCTCTCCTACGCAATAATTCTACCTAACAAAACTATTAACAAATGTTTATGTGACTATCCCTAACGCTACCCAAATAAATCCTTTCTGATACGACCATCTGACTGCATTAAAAAAATAACAATTATTCATTAATCAACTTCATAGAGTGTATTTCGATTGGGTGTTGCAAACCAAAACCAAAGTAATCACAACAGCCAATCAGATGAAAGGAAAAGATTACAACAAGCCAATCACATGTCAAAGAAAAAAACAAGTGAACTGTCCAAAGCGCGGGAAAACGCGGGTGACCAAGTCGCGATTGGTTTTAGTTTTGAATCTGATTGGTTAAGAGAGTGACGCAAGTTTTCTGGAAGACAATTCACAAAGATAAACAGAATGGAGGGATTTTTGGATGTTCCGTGCACCTTGCATATCTATGCTACATTCTTCCTTTATTAAGTAAACCTCTGGCATCTCTAATCAATCTTCAATGTGCTGGCGTAGTCTTCTTGTCTCTGTTGGCGGAATTCTGGCTTCACAGACGTTCGTTTCAGTTGTCCGTCCCTGAAAGTCAAAGGGAAGAAATAAAACTTTACGTCAAAGCTGCTTGAATTGGCAAAATTCATCGGCAAGAGCTACGACGCAAAGCTAAGAGAGCCAGCTTTTCACAATTCATCTAACGTTCAGTTCATTTCGTTCAACTTAAACTTCACGCAATAAAAAGCTAAGCAATTCACCTGTCGTCTGATACAAGATACAGCTTCCTTAGTGTACAACTGCCGGGTTAATAGGTTTAGTTTAGCGGCAGCTGAGCGCAACTGGTGGCCGACGTGTTAGTCGGCAGTCGGCTGACAGTCGGCTAACAGTCGGGCCACGTCGTTGACCAGCGCGTTGGTTGGAATTTAAAAGTTTCAAAACCTGACTGATTATGTACCGTTGATTTTCAACCGGGAAAATTCTGTAGCTCTTCAGAGCCGGAGAGAAAATTTTCATGAACAAAGTTGTCTGTGTCCGAACAAAAACGTACCAGATAAGGTCAACCAGCCCTCCCTGACGAGCAATCTCTGTCTTGACGCGATTTGCAAATTGTGCAGCGCTCTCGTCCTCCTGTAGTTCAAGGAAAATTGTTAATTGTGAAACGCCATGAAGTAAGAAGTCTGAAATCGAGCACATCAAAGTTCGCATATAAGCCCGCCACTAAAAAAGCAAGAGTAAGCGTATTAAAATTCATCGACACAATTCTTTGTACCTGACGAGTCATTTTCGGAAGATACCACACATCACAGACTAGTGCCCAGTTTGTCAGCAGAAGAAATAGGTACATAGCGAAACCTTCAGAACTGGAATTCCAGAATGCATTTCCAAAAGTAGGATCGTACTAAAGAAATAATATTTATCAAAAAATACAATAAACTCTCAATAACTTGTAGACAACAATATGATGTATAAAAGTTGACACAGTTTTATTCATCTGTCTTTTCGCCCGAAAAAGAAAAAACAGCTCTACCAGTTGGAAAACAAGCCAGTCAGAGCGTACATAAAAACTGTTGCCAGCCACCTTAAAAGGGAATTTTCCACAATCACACTCAACCAATGTTTCGTTTCACTTTGCTGAGATTTTGAAGTTGGCTTTGGCTTAACGACATTCAATTGAAATACACTCTAAGCGCAATCATTTCTGCATCTGATTTCCCCTTCTCACGGAAGGTTCAACAGCACGAACTAAAAACAAATGAACAGTTCCAGGACCTTACCTTTATTGCTACAGGATAAATATCTCCACCAATCTCAAAGCTGCCCTTCTTAAACATCATCACGGATGTGTTGTTGATGCATGTTCCTGTGAAGACAAAAAAATTTTACACCACACTTTACTACTTTTGAGGCAAGGCAAACAATAGGGTCAGCCGAAAAATTGTGGCGAAAGGTAATCGATGGCGAAATACAGAACGGCAATCGACGCCGAACGATAATCGATGCCAAAATACAGAACGGTAATCGACGCCGAACGATAATCCATGCCAAACGGTAATTGATGCTGAATGGTAATCGATACCGAACGGTAATCGATGCCTCCTCACTCCCTCCCTATCTCTCAACACGGTAACCGGTCGTTTCGCTAACAACCAGTTCGCTGACGTTTCAGGTCGTTTCGCCAACGTATTAAGGGCAGTTAAATACTTCGAAGAAAACTAAACTAAAAGAAACTTTAGTGAAATGACCTAATACTTTGGCGAAACGACCTATGAGACTTTCGTGAGCTGGTCGACTCGCAGGCGAAACGACCACAATTCCCAACACAACTGACACATAAAAAGTAAAAAGTATATGTGGGACTTTTTAAGAAAACCATGACGGTGAAGGAAAAAATTTCAAAGGATGACAGATGTGAACCAACAGAGGAATCTGCTCACCTTCAGGAAATATCAACATTGGGTTTTTAGTTGCATCTTGAACATGTTCTCTCAATCTGGGGATAAAGTACCATTCGTAGTTAGTAAATAACTGCACTGAACATTTTCGCGCCGATATTTCTTTCTGCAATCACAATTATATCGCTCTAATCAGAGCACTGCCCGTATTCTACGAGGTTTTTCAGCGACTAAAATCTCTTGAATCGTACGCATTTGAGAGAAATTGAAATTCCTTGACTAATCACGTAAACTATGTTGTCTTTAACAGAATTTCAGCCTATTCCTGGCGTTCAGTTGGCAAAACGAAGCGCGATAGTAAACAACGCAATAGCAGCAGAGGAGTAAAAAACGAGGAAGATTTGGATCGGTTCTCTCGCATTCGCTCCGCCGCTTCTATCGCGCCGTTAACTATTTAGCATTATGCTTTGTTTTAAAAACTGAAATGCCTGGAACAGCTTGGTTGAAATTTAAATTGCACAGGCGTAGTATCCTAGCATCACTCCAATTACTTAATTCGACCTTATCTTAGCACAATAAGGGCCCTGTTGACGGGGTTCAAACGTAACTTGTGTCATTTAATTTTAAAAAAAATATCATGTAGAAATACTGGATAGGTTTAAGTAATGCTATCACGGAAAACTATCTTTCTACGCGTACATAAACAATACCTTTTTGTTACAATCAATCTGTCCTTCATTTCCGTTCTTTCAAACCAAATGTGATCTTGAGTTTTAGCAAGAGTTCTCTCGAAGAAACCAAACAACCCAGGCTGTCTCTGACCAACCTGCGTGTGCAAACAAGTTTACAGATGAATGGAGGGGAAAATTTACACCTACATCTGAGCAACGAAAACAACGTTTGGCAGGAAAGGCCCTCACGGTTCTGGCCTGTACATTAACTAAACCGAAAGTATAGAAGAGAGGGATAAGCATTGAAGTTCTACTCAACATTTTGCTTTGCTACAATGCTCGCATTAGAACCACGATTGCTTCATTCTTTTGATACGATAAAATACGATAACTTTATTTGTACACGGTATTTTCATAAGTCAATTAAGATACCACACTATCTACCTAACTAAAATAAAATAAATAAAAATATTTATAAAAATGAAAAACTACTTTTCATGGAGGCCGTGTCTAAAAATTTACCTAAACTTAAAATATTTTTCAGTTTCAGTGCTTTTAAGCGCCAACCCTCCTCAATATGCATTTCATCAGACATTGACAAATTCTCAGTTAAGTATTTGACCATTTATCTTACCAGAGAGTAGCACCGGTCACACATTAATATAAGCACATCGAGGGGAGTGGTGTGGTTTGCCACACATATTCCACCTCCATGGGCGATGTTCTCTCTGAAAGTGAAAAGCCAAAACGTTTGCACAAACCCTTTGGATTGATGTCACCACTGCTGAAGTTTATCTGCATGTGTGTAATCTAAGAATATCATTAAACATTATACTTACTAAGAAAACTCTGATTGGCCGAGAGCATACAGTCAATATACAATAGTGTGTGAAGTTGACATGATAACCCAATACCAGCAGTGGATATTGCTGTTATCTTGAACAGTTCAAAGTCTGCCTAGTTTCCTAGTTTAATTTTGCAAACTCAGAGAGAGGAGTCTCCATTTGCAGATTGTTTAAGAATTTATAATACAAAAATTATTGAAGGCAGGTTCCACACAATACCATAAATTATCAAACCTTGTGTCTATGATATTAATTTTGCCTCAGCCTTCCACTTTGGCAGATAACTCAGACCTTGGCATTGAAAATTCATGATATCATGCTAAAACTAATTCAACAATTGCTTTTAAAACATAAAAAAAAAAAATTCAAAAATCTTACTTGTTGTGAAATGTGATCACAGCCGAAACAGACCTTGCAAAAATTCTAAATGCAACCAGCATGCATTTCGTGTCCAGCCAGTTTCTGAAACTAACGAAAAAAAACATTGACAATTAGTAAAGGACAGTGTTAAGTAAGAGTTTGATCTTTTACTGCAAGATACAAGTCAACAGAAACCTCCACAGTTGGAACAAATTGTTCTGATATCTCAATTAAATCTTTAAAGCTTAAACTTCTTTGTTTAAATGAAAGGGAAGTAATCAGTTGGAGGGAAAATTTAAACAGATGATAGCTATTTTTAACCTGGTATTTTGCATGCACATTTTGTTGGAAAGGCTGAAATTTCACAGTTTCCAATACTATCAACATAAACCCCTAAGATGGGGGGGGGTTCCTAGTCGGCAGCTTGACTTACAGCATCTCCTGTGAGTAGTGTGGTCAAAAGTACAGGGTTGGGGAGGGGGTTAAATTGACAATTAATGATTCTAAGCTGCATTAGGTGATGTTGCAGGTATAGTAAATGTATGATTTTCATATGCAGTTATAAGAAAAACCTATTAATTAGGGAACTTAGCAAATTACCTGGATTTTGGGAGCTGAACAATAAAGATTCTTGATGAAATCAGCAAAGCCATACCAAGAAGAAATAACGTGAATCTACAAATACAACAGGGATCTTATTATCTTACATCATGCTACTGATACAAATTCATAGCTAAATCCTTCAAATTATGCTCCATATAAGGTGGAAGTTGATTGGATGTGAATATATTACATTGCCTAAGAATGAGTCAAAATAGTGGAGTGTACTCAAGGTTTTTTTGACCAAATCACAGGACATGCAGTTCTCAAGTCGTCACTCTTGTCCATAGGAACAGGACTCCCTTCTCTACAACAGGAGTTTCCTCTTCAGATAGGGTGATAATTTACTTTAAATGCTGATGGATGTAATCTAATTTTGTTAACTTAGTTCTCAGTTAATGATGAATGAATCATCTTAAAAAAGAGCAATTTGAGTGTTCCAAACAGGCATCAAATGTAAGACCTTCTGAACGCAAGTTCAGGCTCTTTGTAGCTCAGCTACATTGTATTTGACTTCTTCATGTGAGAAACATGCTACATGCTGATAGGATTTACACTGCCTTGTTGCCTTAAAATGTCTCATTGCTTTGGAACAACTTTTTACCAGCAAAAAAAGACAATGAAGGAGAAGCCATCAATTCCATGTTTTAACTTACCGCATGGGAAATAAGATAACATATCTCACAAAACAGCCCAGCACCCACATGATGGTTAACTTGACACTGGAAAAGGAACAGAGTTAACATGATCATGATCATTATCTTCTTAATCCTCCTAAACAGTACCATACACTTCACACCAAAGTGGTCTGAGAAAATGAATATCAATCATAGTTGCCATGCATTTTTTCCTTGATTGGTTTTTACCTTGTTCCATGTTATTACTTTAAATACATCAAGGGGCAAATAACCAATACCCTAACAATATTAACACCTCAAACCTAATTCCACCCCCCTCCTTCCAAACCAAGCTGGAAAGAACTCTATGGTGATGGAAAATGGGAATTTAGCAATGGACATTCCACTAGGTGGCTCTTCTTATCCACTGTTTCTGGGTCCATTTGGAATTTGGAATATTGGTTTTTGGGGAGGGAGAAAAACTGGAGGACCTGGAGCAAGGAACAAGGATGAACCAACAACAAACTCAACCCACATGCTATGCAAGCTCTAAAAATGGAACCTGGGCCAGAGCAGTGGAATATGAGCCCTCTCACCACTGCGCCATCCCTACTACTCTTTAAAGAGAAACTGACACACACCAGATACTAAGCCATTTATTACATTAATATGAGAGGATTGTCCTGAATATTGCCAGGATCTACAACATTGAAAGATTTAGAAAAGATAAATTAACAAAGGTATCAAAGTGAAGTGAACTTCTTCAACATTTCATTTGCATGTAGACACATTTATTTTCTTCTGAAGTATTATAGCGGGCCAGAATCTTAGAACCCTAAATCTGAATGGCTAATCATGGCTCATAACTGTCAATATTAACAACACTGACCATGGTATTTTTTTCATGGTATATGGAATTTTTTCCATGTAGCAACATGGAAAAAGGTAAAACAGCAGAAAAAATAAAAAATGTATCAACTAATCTAGGTCAATCCACATGGGAAAATACTTTGCCCTTGGTCTTGAAACTGTGTCCTTTGTTCCTTGGGAAAGGTATGAATTTGGGACATTATATAATGACTGATTTTAAAAAAAAACAATAGCATCTTACCTAATATAGTGATAATTCTCATTTGTCCTGGTGAGGAGATTCCAAGATTCCAACTCTGTAATAAAAAGGAAGAAGAGTAAGAACTGTTCAACAAAGAAGAACCTTAACACTTTAACCCCCTGAAGTGATTAACTTGTAACTTCTCCCTATAATATTATATACATTATCCAGCCATCAGGTAATGAGAATACTCAAACTTATCAGGAAGAAGTTGTTATCTTGATCTAACACCAACTTCTCATAACTTATTAACAAGGAATTGTAAGCCAGTTAGAGGAGAGAAATAACAATCAGATCTTGGGAGTGAAAGGGTTAATGTTAGACTCAACATTAAGTTTTAAAACATCTCACTAACTTTAAAGTATTCTTCATTAGTATGCTAGACTTCTCCCCATGAAGTCTATGAGTCACTTTTGCAAATACAACACATTTTTTTATTGTCAACAGGGAAACAAAATGAAACAACTTTGTATGAACCCTAAAAGAAAACCTCCACTTAGATTCTCCCCCAGTACAAAACAGCCATCTCCTTTGAAACCTTCTTATAAATCAACTAAATTCATAGCACAATTCTTTTTTTTTTATTTCAGTAATTTAGCTGAGTTGTCAGTCTTCCATTTCTACGTGCTTCAACACTTCCAGATCAATTTTGATACAGACCTTCTGCAGAAAATCGCTTCGTTACTTCATCATCTATAATGGCCTGCATCAAACACAACAAAAATTTCACTTTCAGATTTGATTTTAATCATCTAGCAGGTAAGATTGAGAGGAATGTCTCACACAGAAACTTTAACACACCAAGTACAGGAAGCCAGTGAAATCTGAACAGAATGGTTATATGTTTTATAGACCTTTCCTTTCAGTAGGAAAATGGTTCCTATATTTTCTAAAGTACAATTAGTATGACAGGGAGCAGAGAGCAAAAAAAACTATCCTGCAAATAAAATAACCTTTTTTTTTCTCGTGTCAATGATTACATGAAGCTATTGATTGAGACAAAAGGCCTTGTAAATCAATCCCTAATATTTTCAAAGTGCAGGTCACTGAGTATCAAATGAATAAAGGGGGTAAGTTTCTAAAGAAACTGTGGTGCTGTGTCTGTGGGAGAGTATAACAGGTAATTTAGAGTTAACAACTGAATTGAAAACATAAATTAGCCACTGTAAAGAGTTTAAAGGCTGAGTATAAAGACAATGTGGCAAGTAATCAAAATTTGGTTCTGCTTTAAATTAGAACATTTTTAAAACATCCCTCATCCCCACAATAAATATGATGCACAAATAAATAATCAAAGAGTGCATATAAAATAAACTTCTCTACCCACCTCAACTCCATTAACACAAAACTCTATTGCATCACCCATATGGAATTCTCTTTGAAAGGTGCCAAATGAACGGTTTCTGGGTAAGTTAGCTTTTGTGGGTTTTGCTGGTGTTTTTTCAATAACTAAGACAACAATGAGGAAGCAAAGCATTAGGAATGTACTGTACATGTTCCTGTGCAACCTTATGGTTAGTTAAGCCTTTACACCCTCACATCAGTATCCACATTCTCTATACTGTTCTCAATACATTCCCTATGTTGCTGACAAGGAGAATTTGTTTAACAATCAAGAGTTTTTATTGTTGGTGATCATTCCCTTTTTTTTGGTGACCTTCATGTGTGATCTGGGGGTGATATTGTATGAATGAATTAGATGCTAGTCACTCTCAAGAGTTAACCCTTTAACTCCCATGAGTGACCAAGACAGAATTTCTCCTTACAATATAAATACAATGGCAAGCAGACAAGTGATGAGAATAAAGAAAAAATCTTAATTTGAGGATTATAAGTTGATCCAATATCAAATTCTCCAAACTAACATCACAAGAACTATATTGTAGACAGTAAGGAGAATTACTCATGAGATCTTGGGAGCTAAAGGTTATTGGAATATTTAGAAGCACCAGACATAACATAAATATTGTACACATTCAATGCAGTTGAAGTGTCATGACTGCAGGTGACTGAAAGGGTGAAAAACCGTGTGAAAGCCCTCAACACCAATTGGCTTTCAATCCTTTGACCCCTAAGAGTGACCAGCATCTAATTTCTCCTTACAACACCACTCCTGAATCACAAATTAAGGTCATGAGAATAAAGAAATTAAATGCCAACCAAAGAAGCTCTTGATCATCAAACAAATTCTCCTTGTCAACACCATGGATTTGTATATAGTACAGTATAGAGAATATGTTATAAATGTTTGGGTGTAAAGGGAGGATAACAACGAATGCAAATAAAATTTAAACTTGACCAGAATAACATCACAACTGATACATATTTTCCTCTCCATACCTCTTCATGTGATTATTCAAGGCTTAAGGAACAACATATCTAAAGGTAATAGTGTAGTTTGATCGTCCAGGTGAGTGTAGTCCTGAGAAGGACTGTTGTCGGTAGTGATGATTGATGTTTCGACCAAACACGACTGACCTACACCACTTGAGTCTTACAGCCAATAATATCTCTGCAAAACTAACCAATCAGTGTACACAATCCGGACTAAGTACATTCGACTGACAACTACCTTTCACTTGACTCTGATGACTTCTGCTCAGGTTGTCGAAACATCAGTCACCACTACCAACAACAGTCCTTCTCAGGACTACACTCACATGGACGATCAAACTACACTATTGCATGTTACCTCCGGGTTCAAACCATTTACTGTATAACATATCTATAGATTTGAGTATTTTTGATTTGTTTTCAATCTGGTCAATTTTCAATCTGTTGCATGAACGTCATATACCAAAGAGGCGATGTCTGGTTCTTTTACAGCCTCACTATACAGGGCATGTGGTGCAAAAGAAATATTTTTCTGCTGGCAGCTACATATACTTTACCATTTGATTTTATTCCATGCTTTGACTGAATAGTTCTCCTACCAATCTATAAAACGAAAAAAAAGAAACAACAATGAAAACTGCTGTTTTGTTTTCACACGTTAACAAACGAGCAGCGCTTTCGAAGCAGCTAAAAGGAACGAAGATACAAAAAAAAAAAATTAAAATACTGCGATTGATGTCCGCTCCAACAATAGAAACGTGCAGATTAACATAGCCTCTATTTAAAAATCCTTCGATTTCGAGAAGAAAGGAAGCTTGTGAGTATTCTTTGAATAAAATTTAACAGGTCCTTACAACTCTGTCATATCTGCGCTGTCTGAGATACCGACAACATAACAAGCCATTTACTACAGCACCAGTAAGGCATACCTCAAAAATTTTGAGCAGAGTGCCTAAATATAAATTTCTAATTCCAAAAGAAAATCCCAAAGACGCTGGGATGGCCATAAAAATGACAATGAAAGCCAAATAGCAGAGCAAAATTATCAGCCATGTGTCCGCCATTTTGAATTTCTGCAGGTTTGAATATCCGCTGACAAGCTTCCTTACGTGTGTGTGTGTTCGATTACCCACGATTCTTCTGGCTCTGGGTCAGAGTACGTTCAAGGAGCAAAGGTACTCGGTTACATCAGCTGACTTACATTTGTTAAAACACCGCTATGTAGGGAAACTGTTTGACCCTGTCAACGAGGTGGACACCCTGCAAAAGTCTTATAATTTCATTGCTTCACGCGGAAATATGAGAAGTCCGAGACGCCGGCTGGTTTAATCGTCTTGTAACCTCAACCCTTACGTCGTTTTAGAGTCAAACTAAGCCACGAGTCAGACGGCATGCATAAAAAGGGTTCCCTTATTTCTAGTCACGAGTCATAACAATGTCCTATGCTTTTTGCATGACCAAACCTGCTGACATGATGTAGTAAAAAAAAAATGGAAATAAACCCTGAAACTGAAAAACCTTATAAAGATTGCTCTTCACAGAAGGGTTTATATTCGAAAAATGTATGCTAACAGATGGAAACGTTATTGGAAAAAGAAAAGAAAAAAGAAAAAAAAAAGAAGGAGATAGAGAGAACGAAGAAACTTTGCACAAAAGGGGCGTATAAAATTCGTAATTTCTACGCAAAGAGTAAAATTCATGAATTCACTCTACCAAGGAAACATAAGCTCATAGTCTCTTGACGGTTAACCAGCCTGACGGTAAATCAAAATTATTTTGGCCATATGATGAAATTCTTTATTAAGCAAGGTTCTTGGGTTAAGATGCGGTTTTATACTGTATAGTGCAGAAGCATGCCAGAATTCCACCTTGGACCAAGGGATAAGGCCGAGATTACGAGTGCAGTAGAAACAGTGAAAAAACAATTTTGCTCGGATAACAAAACATGTCTGTGAACAATTTCAACAACGAGGGCCAGTGATAATTGGGAGCTCAGTAACATAATTACACAAAAATTCGAAACTGTTCAATCACCAAAATAAATTATAACACATGCAATTCACCAAAATACGAATTTACTTTATACCAGAAGATCTTAATTATTCAAGGAAACAAAGACCAAAGAAATTCACACACATTTGAAAACGAATTGACAAACCGATCACTCGGTAAGAATAAGCCTCGAATTCACTTGCTAATTGCCGATGAGGAGGAGATCATGCATAAGAATATTACATAAGAATTATTATTATTATTTATCCGACCCCCCTTGCGATAAATAATGAACGGTCCTTAATCGTGAGGGGAACGTGAAGTTCGCTTCTACTCGCCTGAAAAACGAAAAAAAAAAAAAAAACTGAAATTAACGCTTGTCTCTCAAGTTTCGTTGCAATGAGGTATTTCTCTGAACGCCCACTAATGGAATTTGCTCGTATTATGATGTTTGCATACTGCAGCGCCGTTGCAGGAGATGTAGATTTTACCTCACTTCCGTAAAAAGTGCATATTTCGAATAATTGAGCGACGAAGTAAGTATTCTTGAATACCTCAACCCCAGAATTTCCTCAGACGTTTACATGTTTTATTTCAAAGAAACCACCAGGGAACTATTTTGGACGACAAAGTGATAACCCAATTATACTGAGCAAATCTAGGTGTGGTTGCCTGTGAGTGCCTCAAACAAAACAAAGGGATGTGTTTTAAAATTTTATTGTGAAGATTTCTTAGAACTTGAGGAAAAGTGTGAAACAGAAATTGAACTCGACATCCCGGAAAACCCCCCCTGGCACATGATGTTAGAAAATCCAGTTGTGTAAATATTTGTGAAAATCATTTTGACATCGTAATAAATAGTAGATTCGCGTGTCGGCTTTCAACAAAAAAATTAAAGCAATTTATCATTTCTGTCGAAGATAACCGCACCCAAGAATTAGAAGTTTGATAAATAGCAGTCACAGAGCATCACTCCTTCAACAAATAATAAATTACACCGCGGTAATGTAAAATCACAGCGTGATTTCAGCACATCATTACATGATCCGAAAATAAAAACCCAAGCCAGTTATGACGTAACTATGACGCAAATTCACTTCCTGAACGGAAATTGAAAACGATCAATTTAATCAGCGGTGAGCGCGAGCATATTTTAGAGATTGCTTTTAATAGTTATCTGCTTGTAGTTTTATAAATCATTTTTCTGCGCGAAAAGACAATAAAAACACAGGAAATTGTATAGGATACTCGTATTTTCTTAAAAACCAATTCTAAAACTTTGCCTGGGTCTTACGAAATATAAGATCTCAATGGGTTAACCGTTAGCCCTTAGGCGTAAAAACTGATAAATTTTAACCGTAAGTCGTAAAAAAAGTTGACCGAAAAAAAAAATTTCATGTGGCAACAATAGAAAGATAGTAATCGTTAGCCGTAAGCTGGCCAAAATTTTAACCGTTGGCAGTAAAATCCATCACCCCATTGAGACCTCCCGGATACATGCGCTGCATCAACTTCTTTCGTTCGCCGGCTCTTCATGTAGATCAAATATTTTAGTCCCAACCAGTTTCATCAAGAGAAGATGCATTGTCTCCAAGCCGTCATTCTGGAATTTTCTTGATGTTTGCGAATACGTGTACAACTTCTGTGTACTAACTTGGCCAAGATAAGTTGTCAGACTTCAAAATGCACATGATCAAGTGCCTCTTCCAACTGCACCGCTTTACAAACAAAGTTTGATAACGATTGAATGTTTTACGAGGCGATGGAACTCTCTGGTTCAGCTCCGGAAAAAACACTGTTAGGGGCTGTTTGTTCATATTTGGAATTTCTTTTGATAACAAAAGTTAGCTAATTTTTTTTTCCGATTGTATCAAAGAATAACTAAAACACACGCACTGATAAAACATACTTTGTTGATATGGTCATATCCATTGATTCAACGAGCGTATTTCCCGAGAAAAATATAACAGCATCTTTAGTAATAAAATTATCCCCGGATGAACATGATTTTCAGCAGATTAAGATGTTATGATTGATTTCCGCAAATCAAAGGAGCCAACAACTCCTCTGTGAGAGTATATCATCTCTGTCAATTTACTAACATCTTCTATATGGCAAATCCCTTACTTGGTTTATTCGCCTTCACGACTTCAATTAATTTCAAGCAAAACAGCTTTTACTAGAACAAGTTTTTTGACTACTTTGATTTTACTGTTCTGTTTACTGCAAGAAGTTGCACGAAACTGGTCACTTAAGGGAGGACTAACAAGTGACTATGTTGACAATAACGTGGCAAACAAAGAAAAAAAAAATGCGAGTAGTTTGTATGACCCATTGCAGGAATGCTCTTGGGCTGAAAAATACGTCTTTCAGTACCTATATTGTTGCGAAATTTAACACCCTTTGCGTCAAAAATATCTCCAGCTATCGAACTGAAAATCAAATAATCCGCTTAAACGCATTTCCAGAAAAAGCTGTTTGAGTTTCCAGTGCTTCAAAGGCGCAAAAACAAATGGCAAACACGTAGAATTCTGATAGATTCCTTGTTTTGTCTGCTCGCCGACAAGAGGCGTACCCAAAAGATCCATTAAAGCAATTGAATACCGTAGATCCCCCTATCAACTGGCACCAGACGGCAGGAAATAACTCACTGGGCAATATTCCCAAGGTGTTAATTGCTTTCGTAATCTTGCTCAGCGTTGAGATTTTTACTGGTATCGAATGATACGTCTCGAAATAGCCACATGTTCGTTTTAATCAAGAACACCAACCAAGCTGCTGTGAAATAAAAGACGCATTGCACTCAATTTTCCGCGATAAACTGCTTAGATTATTTCGTTCTTGGTAATCAATCGCTAGTATTATTGTGTTGATAGTTATCGAAAGCAAAATACTTATAGCGGGCATAAAGTACATTTGCGGACAGCTCACTAATTGCGGTGTCTAATTGTTTTCATAATTGCTCTGTTACATTCAGAAAGGAGCACTCCCTTCAGCAATGAGACCCCAAGGTTAAGTTATGAAGGCACATCACCAAATAAATACGATGAATTGTCAACCGTGAATAATTTTCCTAACTTTTCCAAAACGTTATTTTTGCTCTTGAAATAAAACAATTAAAGTTGTGATTCTAGGAATGAAGATTGAATTTTTGACCAGATTTCAACAGGAGCTGTCGTTTGACCTTGTCTCCCACCAAAAGACAAAACAAAAACTTCCATCTACAAAAAAAGGTTGTGCACTTAGGTCTCTTTGCAGACTTTTCCCCCCGAATCAACTACACCTTTCCAGAAAATACTCACTATAAAACCACCAAAAATATATTTACTTCGCTATGATTGTTTAAGAAGTGATGTGTAAACTACCATTATTAAGAACAAATCTTTGTCTTTCTTTTTTAGCCATCGGCTGATGAAAAAGAACACCTTGAAAGTGGAAATGTTAAATGGACACTCAGTAACAACGAGATTGACATCACATCTTTCCTACAAAAAATGTAGGCAATTAAATACTGCCGCGGATGCTGAACTTTAGTTGACATCTGTGGGTTCCCGTGGAATGAGTTCTGTAAAATTTCGTTTCGAGCAACAATTGGGAGCAATGGGTGATAGCAGTGATTGAGCAACTGCAGGTCACATCTGCGTTCAATCGACTCCTTTACTTTTTATAACGAAGAAATTCTCTCATTTTGTTATTTATAAATATCTATAAAAATCTCCAACCCTTTAATTAAGAGAAGGCCAAAAGCTCACACAATATCTTTATTTGGGATGTTTTGATAAAACTTAGAGCTCACAATATCCTTGTCCTCCTGCCCTCAGGAAAACGGGTGTAAGTACAATAATGCATCAGTTTTACTACTAGAGAAGATTTGATCTGATGTCTGTCAAAGTGTCCAGTTTATCACAAGACGAAAGATGTTTGAGAGTGACTTTTTAACCAAGTTACTTCTTTCGTTCTCGCACACATGGCTTTCAGATCAATTGGACTACTTTGCAACATGATCTATTAAGATAATTCGTTAGTCTACAATATATATAATAATAATATTCTGGAACAGTAACGTAAAGATT